TGTTTTTAAGTTTCTTATTACGAATATATTTGTTGACAATTTTTTAGACAGAAACTCGACATGTTTATCCCATTTTAGTTTATCATCTATGAGTACGCCCCAAAACTTTACCGCCTTTTGAGTTGCAATATTATTACTCCTCAAAGTAAACACGATTTTATTAGTTTTATCTTTATTAAAGACTAGGTTGTTTGAAAGAAACCATTTCTCGGCATATGTCAGTGCGTCAGACGCACTTATCTCCAAAAGCTCAATATTTTTGTTTGATACAGATATAGTTGTTGCATCAGCAAACAAAGTAAAGGCATAACAATATATTCACAAATCCCAGTCAGGCTCAATTTAGGTTTTTCGTTGTTTTTTGTTTCATAATATTATGAGCAATATTAGTAAAGTATATATTCATTTCTTGGGCCTTTACATTACATTCTATACCTCTTTGTATACCTCTTTTTTTATTTACAATATCCCACATGGTCTTTGCTTTATTATTTGAGTTTTTTATTAGACTTTCATTTGCTTCCTTTTTTGCTTTATCAATAGCTTTCCTATATTGATCTGTGAATAAATTCTTTTGTTGTTTATTATAGCTACTTGGAGAATTTTTGTAAACGTCTGAGCGTCTAAGCACTCTTGTATAACAATCTCTGATTGTTTGCCTAAGATTTCTTTTTATTTGTTTCAAAAACTAATTTTTAATAAAAATAGAATAACATTTCCGTAAGTGTTAAACTAACGACCTCATTTTCAATGTAGACAACCCATAAACAACTTAACCAAATAGAAAAAGGCGTAAGCAGGAATGACAATAGGTATATAATATTGTATGTATATGCATTTAAATATATATATTTTGTATATTAATATTTATATTTTTAAACTAAATTTGGCAAAAAAAGTAAGAATGCAAAGATATAAACTAAATGTATACGGTATAAACACGAATTTAACAATAAAATAAATAAAGAATATACAAGGTCGGTAGCCGGCACTCAATATCCACCAAGGCAGAGGGCACTTACGGCGGGTCGTGGCCGTCAACACTTCGGTACTGAAAACAAGATTCAGTATCTCACAGGGGGGCAAACAATTATAAAGAGGTTACCAGGAACCGGAAACTGACTCGGACAGAGACGTTCAGAAATACACCAACAAGGACAGGTTCTAGCAGCGTACTACCACCATTCATGAATCCCAATTGAATGGGGATATTACTAAAGGCCCGGTTGATAAAGATTCTGGATTGTACTTAGTTTTGGGTCAGTTTAATGTCCTCCAAAAACCAACTTTTATCCTCCTTGTCCCGTTATGGCCCGAACGGCGACAAAAATCCGGGAGTGGCCTTAACCATCGACACTGTCATCCACGACCTCCTAGGGTAGATCTACCAGCCGGCGTAAAAACTTCGGATCCAACAAACACAAGTAATGCTGTGCAGTGGCGGGATACGTAGGAGAACGGAAAGGGGGTAAAATAACCCTGGGAGATTATTGTAAGGTAATGTCGATGGGGCCTGCCATACGTCCCCATACTCATACTTATACTCATTTCCAATAATTTTTGTGTGAAGTATTTTTGGTTAATTAAAATAAAAAAATTGTTTTTAAATTTAGTTTGTTTTACTTTTTTTGCAAATATTTCGCAAACGGTATATTTTATGACAAACTATTATGATTAACATTTTGTACAATTTCAAATCGGTGCGACTAACGAGAGCCGACCAATCCTCGAGTGAACATTGTCGCGCTTGTTCACCCATAAGAACGCTTTTTCTCACTACTTTAGAGAAAGAGTCTCAAGCCCGCTGCACAATAGCCCGGTGACGAGAACGGGAATCTGAACAGTAAAGGTGGGAGAGACTAAGAAACCACTGTTGATCGATAGTGTTTGCTCTCCCACCTTTACCGTTTAGGTTCCCGTTCTCGTTACCGGGCTGTTGGGCAGCGGGTTTAAGGCTAGTTTTTTTTGCGGTATTTCCTGTAGGTCTAATCCACGTCAAAATATTTTTATTTCTTCTATTTTTATGATCGTTTGACTGTGATTTTTTTTAGTGGACGTGTCGTGTGGTAGGTCTGGCCTTTGTTTATCTTGTTAGAGAAACCATTGTTGGTAGATCAAACATATCTCGTTGTCAATGGAAATCTATCTAAAGTTTAAACATATTTTTCTGCAAGTAAATTTTCAAACTGTGATACATTTTAATCTGGCCTTTCGATAGCCGCACGTTGAGCCGCATTATTTGTACACCAGCACGAAATTATGTCGATAAGTGATGATGGTTTCGTTTCTCCTGATTTAGAAGTCATCATTGGCTTAAGCTTTAGCCCCCTTATTCTGGATCTATAACATTTACCAACCATACGGTTAAAAAATAATAAAACTAAGTGAAAATACCGTTTTGGTGGCCACGAAAAGGTTTACAGCAGAACTATGGTTTATAAACAATTAAAATAGGTTCGGGGTCATAGGGACCACTATCCAGACTACTATATTAATATTTAATGAATATTTATTGTACACAATTTACTAAAAATACGCCTGAAGGGTTTCGGTCTTGTTTTACTAAACTTTAATACAATCGTTGACTAATAAATGCAAGGGTACTCATCTACGCCCTTGGGGTCCGGTTGAAACCGCTCTGTATGCAGAGTAACAGCAGTACTAGGGTTGTAACCACTCAGGCTTATCGAGGTTCGATGGTAGACGGTGTTACAGAAGCCTGGACAAAGTTCTCGGGAAGCAATGATGAGTAAGAATTCCAGAGAGGGACCCTGGTAAGGAACCCTGGTGAAGGACCCCACAAAGTTATGCTAAACTACTCGAAATTTCGGCATAAGATAACTTACGCTTGGGTTTATGTCTCAGTCAGGTTTACTAGCGAACTTCTTAATCTTAGATGAATTATGGAGACAGAAAACCGGCTAAAAAAAGGATTACGATTATACTTGGATTACGTTTATACTTGGAAAATCAATGGAGATGGCTTACCAAGAAGGTTGAAAGTTAATCTGGAATCATCCGAATAAGAGGATACCAGTATCAAAATACTACACACAATCCTTATGTATTATTTTGCTGCATTCGAATTATATCCCAATTTATATTAAAAGGCAAAACACACAGACTTTTCTGAATTCGATGACAGTCAACACAACGGTTACTAACATAGAGAAAAAAACACAAGAGAGAGATTCCTGTTAGAAGTGGGGAACATCATTACTGTGCCGACTCTAGTGGCTACCGGAAAAACTAACCAAAATCGTCTCACCTCACCTCAAAGTAACATCACGAAACCATAAACCTAGATGGCGTTCACCCTATTGGTTGAACGTCAACAGATGACGTTATATTATTCATAAAAATCTATATGATTTTTATTCATATTTAATGAAATCTATACCAATATCAACTGTCAAAACTAAAATTTAATAAAAATAACCCAATATATATATATAACTACATTGCTAGCATTTTCTGAACGTAACATGGTGTTTAGCCACCGATTTTGTAGGTGGTAAATTAGCGAGAGCGGATTTGATTTTCACGATTCGTCCACGAGAACAGCTTCAATTAAAAATAATTAGATATTTTTTATTACTTTCTTCTTTATAAAGCGTAATGAAAATATTTTACTCTGTTAACGTTATATTTTATTTAAAAAGCTGTAACGGTTTAAAGAGGTTACAACCCTAATGGGAAAACATTTGTGTTGCCCTATATGGAGAAGAAAGCAATAAAACAAAACCAGATCATTTCCGGCTAAAGCTTTTCTCGTGCAAAAATGGTAAAAATAAAATCAAATCTCGATAATTTGCCACTCACAGAACCCCCGGCAGAACATCATTCTTTTCGAACATTTCATTCAGTGCAGGCATGGTTGGCGAATGTTTTAGATCCAGAATAGGGGGGGTAAAGCTTAAGCCAGGAGAAACGAAAACATTATCACTTGTCGACATTATTTAATGCCTTTTTAAAATTCGCTGTATATTATTAAAGAAACCATGGTTTGTAGATTAAACATATCACGTCCGGACGGTCCCATCATCACTGGTCGACATCATTCCGTGCTGGTGTACGAATCAATGCGGCGCGACGCTGCGCAGCAAGCAGCTGTCGAAAAGCCGATTTAAAATGTTTTGTTGTGCAAAGCCGGGAAAATATGTTCAAACGCTTGTGGATTGGTCGCCTCTCGTTAGTGGCAAAAAGCTCTATTTTTTTTATTTTAGAAAATTAATACCTAGGGCTTTAAAATGTTTACATTGCACAGTTTACAAAATAATTGCAGAAAAGTAAAAAGAAAACAAAAATAACATTTTTAATTTAACAAACTATAATTTTTTAATCATACTAAAAACACTTTAGTATTTACTTTTTATTTTGCAGGAGCCAAGATATATTCACTAAAAACTGAAAAAATGTATATTGCGTATATCTTTGTAAAAAAAAAATTACAGGTTTTGCAAATTTGGTTTTATGCTTTACAAATAAGCCGCTATCAATTCATGAAAAAAAAACAGACAGTGCACGCAGTGTACAGGGTGTCCCAAATTGGTTGTCCGTATAGGGTCATATCTCTTAACCTAAAAGAGCTAAAAAAAAATCTGTCGACACTAATGAATTCTGTGATAAAAAGTGTCTACATTACATTTTAAACCTGTATTCGTAACTCAAATATTAACGAAGCTACAAGCATTTGTCAAAATTGGCAAAAATTGAAAAAATAGGTATATCTCCTAAACAAATGCGAATCGAGAAAATTCAAAGACATCATCCAATGTATCTTTAAAAAAGACGATGGGGATGCGTGGTCGAATTTTTTCTAGCATTTATATTTACTGAGATAGCCTATACGGATACGGTCAATAATTGCTCAAAGTGATTGCCGTCAACTTTAATGCACTTGGATAACCGTATGTTATTAAATAATAACAGAGTTTGTGATAAAGATATTAAAATAAACGAATATACCTACATGTTTTAAATAATAAAACTATTTTTAGATGGATACAGAACCATTGCAATTAATCACAGCTATGAAAAGGATACCAATGATGCAGTTGAACGAAAAAATAAAAATAAGAAAGCTGGACAAAATACGGAGTTTCTACCAGCTCCTTTAGACTTGACATATATTGAAAATATTAAAAAAGAATTTGGAATACAGGATTTAAAAGTTTTAAATAGATTAACAATTCCATTTGCTAATCAAGACGTTTTACATAAAATTGTATGTTTTTTGTTATGTTTTTATGAGTTATTATAGATTTATTTTAGGTAAAATCAGATAACTACAAGAAGTATGATATAGTTGCTGTCAATCCCAAATCTGCAAGTGCATTTGCAGTAAGTATTTATAATATTTTGTGTCCATTAATCCCGAACCTTTATATGCAGTTAAAAAATTGTCATCATAGTGTTATTGCTAAAAATCGACATATCACCACAGATTATATTTCACTGACATAAGGGACCTAAGCGTCTCAGCCATAATTATCTGCAGAAAGAAATAATTTTCCTATAATATTTTGCATTTAACAACGGATTCTCCATTTTTGCCGCTGTCTAGAGCGATCTAAAATTATGTCAGGGACGCTTACAGTAATTGCTGTAATTTTAGTATTATAAATTCGTATCCATAAAATAAGGGCACATGATTGGCAGGCAGACTGCCACGAATTTGCCACCTTAATCAGGTCACAAAATATGATTTTTTTAAAATAAGAAAAACTGTAAATTTCAAAATTTAACTCCTCTTAAAACACACAGTTCGTGGGAAAGTGAGAAAATTACATTTTTGTGCTGATTTAGGTGTAAAATAATATTAACATCCAAGACGCGTATTCAATTTTTACTTTTAAAAATATTTGGCTAAACTGCGCACCAGTCAATGTGTCGCCACCAAAAATTTCGTCCTTTTTCAAAACGACATAACTTTTTTGTTTCCTAAACGATTTTATTTTGGTTTGTGATGTCTGCTAGCCCCATTCTTTGTAAATTCATGCTATAGATATGAAGCTCACGGTTCTTCAAGAAAATTTTCTACAGTGTGATATGTAAAACGGTGAAAAATTTCAATAACTTCATCCAAGCCCCGTTTGTAAAAAAAATATTTTTTTCTCGTTTTTACTTTGAAATAATGAATGTCTTACCTTGAAACGTTTTTCAAATTTTTTGAATTGGAATCTTAGCAACAAAAATATGATTTTTTTTCAAAAGGGTACATTTAATGCTTTTTTATAGGCAATACACTCAGCCTTTTTAAGATAAAAAAGATAATTATCTTTTTTATCTTAAAAAGGCTGAGTGTATCTTAAGATGGTGAAAGATTGTTCCTTGAATAATTCTGAACAAGCGACAAGCAACAAACTTCCATTAATTTCAGAGGAACCTAAGTAAAGACCACTTTTTCAAAATAACATTTTGGAGAAAATTTGCGAAAACTAAACCTGAACCGATATTTACGTTTGTGACATGTTTGCTTTATAATTTTGACCTCCTGATGTGATTCAGTTGTCAAATTTAAGTTTTAGATAAAACCAAAATCACCAAGAATCAAAATTCGAAAACAATTCCCGGCTGTTAAATGTCTCAATAACATGCCTTTGCCAATGCCATTTGGGATTCATTTTTTGGGAGAAATTACTGCAATTTGTTTAAGTGGTTAGGATAATGTTACATAAATTACATTTATATTGCGCACTAGTGATAACTTATTACTGATAAGAACCTACCTAATTGGTTATAAAGTTAAAAAATTTGTTTGTTCATTTTTGAAAATTTTATGCGAAGATATAATCATAATAAAAACTACAACATTCAACAGAAAAATGTAACAAACAATAACAATAATAACTTTCGTTTGGTATGCCTTCCCATTCTTCCTGAATCGAATTTACCAATGCATCCAATCTTTCCATGAGCCTTTCCTCTCTTTCATCTTCAGTTTCATCCTGCTCCACACATGCTCAATAGGATTCATATCCGGAGACAAAGGTGGCCAATTAATTCTCTCAATATCATGGTCCCTTAAATACTCATTTACGATATTAGCGCGATGCGGACGGGCATTGTCGTCCACCAACACTAAATCTAAATGCTAAATCTACCATATTTATACTAATTATAAGCTTAGATTGACTGAACCGTAAACAAACACAGTTTACTAAACGGTGGACCGTAATCGCCTCAGTAAAACGTACCCAACTCTAGTTTGTATAAATTATTATAATTAGTATAAATATGGTAGATTTAGCATTTAGATTAAGTTAACTTAGCTTCTGAAGTACTTTAAGCACTTTTTGTTTTGTTTTGGTGTTGGGAAATATTTCTAATATTATGCATCATTTTCGACACCCTTATACCTCATTTTCCGGTCACTTGGTGTTAAAAATTGACAAAATTGATAAATGCGTTATAAATATTAAAAACTTGTTTTTAGATATAATTAAGATTGATTAAATATACCTATTTTGAGCCAAGAATTTCTTGGTATTTTGGTTTACAATTATTTCCCGGACACCGTATACTTTACATATATACCATATACGGTGTCCGGGAAATACATTGTATATTGTTATTGTTCTTTCCATTAAAAGTACTTATTGTAATTAATTTGCTTTAGTTTTGTTGTAGCACATTTGAAGCAGATATTTTAGCCTTAGATCCAGGGAATAAACAAAACTATAAAATAAATAGGAAAACCTACAATCTTCTTATAGAGAGAGGATATCATTTTGAATTGATTTATAGTTCAGCCATTGAAGATCAAACAAAAAGAAAAAATTTAATTCATGTTGCCCATTTGTATCATTCATTTGGAAAATCTAAAAATATTATATTCTCAAGTGGTGCATCCAACATCATGAATATTAGAAGTCCATATGATGTAATAAGCCTGTATCCTTTATTGTTATTATTTTTTGCGCGAATCCAATTTAATAAATCCATTGTTGACTAATAGTATTGTTTACGCGTTCAGTGTTATATAGTCCAAGAGGGCAAATAAACCTAGTAGATAAATGGTTAACATCGCCAGGGGTGTCCAAACTGCGGTAATTAAAAATATCACTTTGATTTAAAAATATCAAATAATTCTTAGTTGTACTTTAATATTTTTAATTCTGCATCATTTTTAAGTTGATAATAAATAAATAAATTATAAATCAGTTGGTATTTTCTGGTCACATTATTTTTGAGTTTAAAATTATATGAATCTGCTGCGTCGCTCACCCCACAAACTTCCAGCTCGCCCGTAAAGATTCATTTACAAAGCTTGACACGTAAATAACTATTAAATTTCAAATGTAAACAACTTTTTGACAGATCGAAACAGGAAAATATATATTAAAAAGAGAAAGACTATTAACCACGTTGAATAACTAGCTCAGCGATATAGTTTTATGGTCTGGTATTTGTGACGTCATAGTTAGGATTTTTGAACGCACTCTAAACGCAAAAATGCCTTAACTATTAACCAAGGTTAAGTTTAATAGTTTGTGTGAAGTTATCCACACATCTCCAGCCACACATTCCTAAACAGGTTCGCGGTCGCCGCTAGAGCGCGCAGCGCACAGTGGGTTGATTATTTATAAAATTGTGTATAGTTTTAATTTAATATCTTTTAACAGCAATTTATCAAGCTCGCGATTAAAAATTAAGATTTAAATACAAGTAGACACAGGGATATAGAGACAGAGACCTTTAAAACTTCGTGTATTTCAAGTAATTTGTAAGACGTTTTAAAAAGTGAGGTTAGAACAGCAAAGCAAAACAGCAATTTGTAAAGTGTTCGATTATTAATACCATTAAAAGTTAAATTCAATTCAAGGAGGCTTTATTGAGAAACATCTATTGGTGTAAAATATTAAATTTGCGTATTTTATAAAAATGTTTCTATAGTCTACAGTTCTATATTGTATGTGTTGATGGCGGTTTGCAAGGGCAGACAAAAAATTACGTGATAAGGGGACCAGAGTTAACATATAAATAAAACAATTCCTGGGGGTTTTGTTTAGGCACATCTTCTGGGGTGGGCACGGGGAATTTTTAAAGTTTGCGTATTTTACTAAGAGTTTATAAGTTAATTTATACGCGTGGATAGGGGGTTCGTAAGGGCAGGCAAAGAATTTCGTGATAAGGGGGCAAAACTTAACATATAAATAAAACAATTCCAGGGAGTTTTGTTTAGGCACATCTTTTGGGGTGGGCACAGGGAATTTTTCAAATTTGCGTATTTTATTAAAAATTTATAAGTTATTTTAAAAGTGTGGATAGGGGGTACGTAAGGGCAGGCAAAGAATTTCGTGATAGGGGGGCAAAAGTTAACATATAAATAAAGCAATTCCAGGGGGTTTTGTTTAGGCACATCTTCTGGGGTGGGCACGGGGAATTTTTAAAGTTTGCGTATTTTATTAAAAATTTATAAGTTATTTTAAAAGTGTGGATAGGGGGTACGTAAGGGCAGGCAAAGAATTTCGTGATAAGGGGGCAAAAGTTAAGATATAAATAAAACAATTCCAGGGGGATTTGTTTAGGCACATCTTCTGGGATGGGCACGGGGAATTTTTAAAGTTTGCGTATTTTATTAAAAATTTATAAGTTATTTTAAAAGTGTGGGTAGGGGTTACGTAAGGGCAGGCAAAGAATTTCGTGATAAGGGGGTAAAAGTTAACATATAAATAAAACAATTCCAGGGGGTATTGCTTAGGCACATCTTAAGGGGTGGGCACGGGGAATTTTTAAAATTTGCGTATTTTACTAAGAGTTTATAAGTTAATTTATACGCGTGGATAGGGGGTTCGTAAGGGCAGGCAAAGAGTTTTGTGATAAGGGGGCAAAAGTTAACATATAAATAAAACAATTCCAGGGGGTTTTGTTTAGGCACATCTTCTGGGGTGGGCACAGGGAATTTATCAAATTTGCGTATTTTATTAAAAATTTATAAGTTATTTTAAAAGTGTGGATAGGGGGTACGTAAGGGCAGGCAAAGAATTTCGTGATAAGGGGGCAAAAGTTAACATATAAAAAAAATAATTCCAGGGGGTTTTGTTTAGGCACATCTTTTGGGGTGGGCACGGGGAATTTTTAAAATTTGCGTATTTTACTAAGAGTTTATAAGTTAATTTATACGCGTGGATAGGGGGTTCGTAAGGGCAGGCAAAGAGTTTTGTGATAAGCGGACAAAAGTTAACATATAAATAAAACAATTCCAGGGGGTTTTGTTTAGGCACATCTTCTGGGGTGGGCACAGGGAATTTATCAAATTTGCGTATTTTATTAAAAATTTATAAGTTATTTTAAAAGTGTGGATAGGGGGTACGTAAGGGCAGGCAAAGAATTTCGTGATAAGGGGGCAAAAGTTAACATATAAATAAAACAATTCCAGGGGGTATTGCTTAGGCACATCTTTTGGGGTGGGCACAGGGAATTTTTAAAATTTGCGTATTTTATTAAAAATGTATAAGTTATTTTAAAAGTGTGGATAAGGGGTTCGTAAGGGCAGGCAAAGAATTTTTTGATAGGGGGGCAAAAGTTAACATATAAATAAAACAATTCCAGGGGGTTTTGTTTAGGCACATCTTCTGGGGTGGGCACAGGGAATTTTTCAAATTTGCGTATTTTATTACAAATTTATAAGTTATTTTTAAAAGTGTGGATAGGGGGTTCGTAAAGGCAGGCAAAGAATTTCTTGATAGGGGAGCAAAAGTTAACATATAAATAAAACAATTCCAGGGGGTTTTGTTTAGGCACATCTTCTGGGGTGGGCACAGGGAATTTTTCAAATTTGCGTATTTTATTAAAAATGTATAAGTTATTTTAAAAGTGTGGATAAGGGGTTCGTAAGGGCAGGCAAAAAATTTCGTGATAAGGGGGCAAAAGTTAACATATAAATAAAACAATTCCAGGGGGTATTGCTTAGGCACATCTTTTGGGGTGGGCACGGGGAATTTTTAAAATTTTCGTATTTTACTAAGAGTTTATAAGTTAATTTATACGCGTGGATAGGGCGTTCGTAAGGGCAGGCAAAGAGTTTTGTGATAAGGGGGCAAAAGTTAACAAATAAATAAAACAATTCCAGGGGGTTTTGTTTAGGCACATCTTCTGGGGTGGGCACAGGGAATTTTTCAAATTTGCGTATTTTATTAAAAATTTATAAGTTATTTTAAAAGTGTGGATAGGGGGTTCGTAAGGGCAGGCAAAGAATTTCGTAATAAGGGGGCAAAAGTTAACATATAAATAAAATAATTCCAGGGGGTTTTGTTTAGGCACATCTTTTGGGGTGGGCACAGGGAATTTTTTAAATTTGCGTATTTTATTATAATTTATAAGTTATTTTAAAAGTGTGGATAGGGGGTACGTAAGGGCGGGCAAAGAATTTCGTGATTAGGGGGCAAAAGTTAACATATAAATAAAACAATTCCAGGGGGTTTTGTTTAGGCACATCTTCTGGGGTGGGCACGGGGAATTTTTAAAGTTTGCGTATTTTATTAAAAATTTATAAGTTATTTTAAAAGTGTGGATAGGGGGTACGTAAGGGCAGGCAAAGAATTTCGTGATAAGGGGGCAAAAGTTAACATATAAATAAAACAATTCCAGGGGGTATTGCTTAGGCACATCTTTTGGGGTGGGCACGGGGAATTTTTAAAATTTTCGTATTTTACTAAGAGTTTATAAGTTAATTTTTACGCGTGGATAGGGGGTTCGTAAGAGCAGGCAAAGAATTTTGTGATAAGTGGGCAAAAGTTAACATATAAATAAAATAATTCCAGGGGGTTTTGTTTAGGCACATCTTCTTATTTATATGTTAACTTTTGCCCCCTTATCACGAAATTCTTTGCCTGCCCGTACGAACCCCCTTTCCACACTTTTAAAATAACTTATAAATTTGTAATAAAATACGCAAACTTTAAAAATTCCCCATGCCCACCCCAGAAGATGTGCCTAAACAAAACCCCCTGGAATTGTTTTATTTATATGTTAACTTTTGCCCCCTTATCACGAAATTCTTTGCCTGCCCTTACGTACCCCCTATCCACACTTTTAAAATAACTTATAAATTTTTAATAAAATACGCAAATTTGATAAATTCCCTGTGCCCACCCCAGAAGATGTGCCTAAACAAAACCCCCTGGAATTGTTTTATTTATATGTTAACTTTTGCCCCCTTATCACGAAATTCTTTGCCTGCCCTTACGTACCCCCTATCCACACTTTTAAAATAACTAATAAATTTGTAATAAAATACGCACACTTTAAAAATTCCCCGTGCCCACCCCAAAAGATGTGCCTAAGCAATACCCCCTGAAATTGTTTTATTTATATGTTAACTTTTGCCCCCTTATCACAAAATTCTTTGCCTGCCCTTACGTACCCCCTATCCACACTTTTAAAATAACTAATAAATTTGTAATAAAATACGCACACTTTAAAAATTCCCCGTGCCCACCCCAAAAGATGTGCCTAAGCAATACCCCCTGAAATTGTTTTATTTATATGTTAACTTTTGCCCCCTTATCTCGAAATTCTTTGCCTGCCCTTACGTACCCCCTATCCACACTTTTAAAATAACTTATAAATTTTTAATAAAATACGCAAATTTGATAAATTTCCTGTGCCCACCCCAGGTTATGTGCCTAAACAAAACCCCCTGGAATTGTTTTATTTATATGTTAACTTTTGCCCCCTTATTACGAAATTCTTTGCCTGCCCTTACGAAACCCCTATCCACACTTTTAAAATAACTTATAAATTTTTAATAAAATACGCAAATTTGAAAAATTCCCTGTGCCCACCACTGAAGATGTGCCTAAACAAAACCCCCTGGAATTGTTTTATTTATATGTTAACTTTTGCCCCCTTATAACGAAATTCTTTGCCTGCCCTTACGAACCCCCTAT